CTGAAGGTTTTTGGGGGTTTAACAGCCCTCTCTGTCACTGACATAGGTGGAGGATATTTTTGTATTGTTTTCATAGTGACACTTGCAATAAAAAGTTTCCCTTCACCAAGAGGATGGGCCAACGCTGAACCGGGTGGGAAATTTTCACTCATAATCTTGCAAGTTTTTTGAAGATATTTCAAGGTAAAACCAGTGCTGCTCTGAGCCAGTAGGACCACAAGTTTCCAGAGTCCCTTCCCAACCAACTGCCCACCGCTAAGATTTATTTGCTGTTGTGTGGCATTTATAAAACTCACCTGCATCCTCTTTTGGGTTCCTAAATAAACGGGTGGCCTGGGCCCTCCTCCTGCTGAGCAAAGAGGGAGGTGCGTGAGTTTTGAGAACAAAGTCACCATTTAGATTTAAGAACTAACTTGTCCGTTGGACGTGGCGGATACCTTAAGTCGTGCGGGTTCAAAAAATACTGGATGAATGAACGGGCAAAAAAAATCCACCCAGCCCTGTTAAGTACAAACCCATCATCTGTAGCTCAGGAAGTCTCTGACTTGCAAATTATTGACTCTGGAGGGTTCTGTTGGGAGGGTGTCCGGGTGTTGATCCCCCATCAGAGGCAGGACACTGGGCAAGATGGGTTTTGATTGGTCTCCATGGCCATTCCTACGTTGTTTTTCATTCTTGGACACCATGACTGGAATGGTCTTGACTTCTGGCAGCTCCATCTTGCAGCGGGGAGGCTGCAGCAAATTCTGCAAGAAAAAGAAAGGGACGTGGGGAAGAGGTGTCCAAATCGAACCGTTTGTTTGTCCTTTTGCTCGTTTGCAAGGAGAGGGCGCTCGCACTGCGTCCTCCGAGGGGTCCTGCCAAGCTTCGAAGGACCTGGATGAAGGCGCCGACTTGCCATTTGCATCCGATCAGGTCGAGTCAAATAATCCAGCCCCAATTTAAGGATTAGCGTGACCTCGTCATGCAATTCCCTCTGCCACCGAGCCTTCGCGGTCCGCATAGCACATGTGCATGTGGCGTGTGCCGTAGGATGAACTCGAGTAGACCTCCCACAACAGATTTGGGGTGGGTTATGTGCCTCCTCTCAGGCGCTGGAGAAGAGGGAATCATTTGTGTAGCTGAGCAAAACCCCCTTATTTTCAATTTAAGTGGAAAACAATCAAGCGAGATAATTGTTTTCGTTAGAGATTCCCTCTGGATCTTCTGGCTCTCCTCCAGAAGGGCTCTAAATACACAAATGGATGTGTTTTTTGTTTTGTTTTGTTTCGTTGATTGCTGAAGACCGAAAAATCTTGGACGGGGAAAGAGGCAGAATGAAAACCCGACAGTTTCAAAACTCACAGCTGGAAAAAAAGGAGTTGTGGAAAATTTTCAGTTTTCCCCTTGGCTGGTTGTGCAGTGACCAGAGCAAGCTCTTTTAGATGGGGAGGGGAGCGGTGCTGTGAGGACCCGTCTCTGCAGGGAGTCGCTCAGGACCGCTCTGGCCGCATCAGGGTCTGGCTGCTCTGGGATTTTCCTAGGGAAGGACTTTGTGGCCGTTTGTGACTTTCAGATAGTAATCCTGGAGAAATGAGCAGAGACTAGAGGGAAAAAATGACCCTTTGGTCCTTTAGCACGGTTGCCTCATCAACAGGAGGGGCTAAGCGTGAGGTCTTTTTGTTGGGGTGACTGCAAAGGAGAGAGGAGCTCTCACCAAGGCAGGTTAGAAGCTGATGTGTGCTTGTGGAGGGGCAAGGGACAACTTCGAGCCGGGGCGTAAGGTGATGCTGAGTCTTTAAAACATCCATAAAACTCAGGGGAGGGAGGAGAAGGGATTGCAGAGCTCCTCAGGCTGGTACCACCAGCACTGCTTCATCTCCCAGCGCTGCAGGGACTGTTGCATTCCCTCTCAAGCCTCTTCGCAGGCTCCAGGTTGCCCCTAGAGATGGCAGCCGCGGGGATGAGAGACGTTTCATGGCCTGCTCGTGTGCTCTGTGGCGCTGCCCGAGCTCCAAAATCCTCGGTGCGTTTCCAGTTTCTCATGCGATGTGTTTGCATTTTGCAGCTGGCTGGTTGGCCACGAGGAGAACAAGCAGAAGACGGACGTGCACTACAGGTCTATGGGAGGAGAGGGCAACTTCAACTGGAGATTCGTCTTCCCCTTCGACTACCTCCCTGCTGAGCAGATGTGTTACGTCGCAAAAAAGGTGAGCGTCCCCGCACAGATGTTTCTGCCTTCTCGTGGGAGCTCTGGGGTAAAATGCGCTGCAGGGTCTGAGACCTGCACGGAAGGAGCTACGAAAGGCTCAGTCTTGCCTTTGTGTTATGTGAAACACGAAGTTGAGGATGTTTTTTTTTCCTTCTGAATACAACATTCGTGGGGTCAGAAGGAGAGGTGGCTTTCTGTAAAGAGTCTGGAGGGACTGACCCCACCAAGGAGAGGCTCCTCTGGGCTTGGAGGCAGCCACGTGTTGGTGCAGTGGTGTCAAAGTACTCGCCAGGTTGCATGGGACTTCGAGGATGCCTACTCAGTACCGGGGTTGCTCTGGAGATGGAGGTGGCATTTCCATGGGGGTGGTTAGGCACACACTTCTGGCCTCCAGCACGACCTAAGGGGCACCGTGCTGGACAATAACTCTGGAGAAGGGCTCAGGAAGGAGCTGCCTCCAAGTGCAGGAGGGACATGCAGGGAAACGTGGGTTGGGATGTACTTTTGGTGGGAAGAAGAGCTTTGATTTGAGGTTCAGGGTGAAGATGGCTTTGGACTAATAAGAGAGCTGCGTACTCGGTTGGGGACTCCTCTTTCCTCTGTCTGGAGTGGGCTGTTGCGTCTGGAGTTAGATGAGTTAGTGCCACCAGGAGTAAGGAGGTGGTCATTCCCCTCTACTCAGCTTTGGTGAGGCCTCGCCTCGAGTGCTGTGTCCAGTTCTGGGCCCCTCACTCCCAGAGGGACACTTTGGGGCTGGAGAGGGCGCAGAGCTGGGCTGCCAGGCCGGGAGAGGCTCTGGAGCACGTGTCGTACGAGGAGCGGCTGAGGGAGCTGGGGCTGTTCAGCTGGAGGAGAGGAGACTGAGGGGACACCTCATCACTCTCTGCAGCTCCTGACAGGAGGGGGCAGCCAGGAGGGGTCAGTCTGTTCTCCCCAGTGGCGAGTGACAGGACGAGGGGAAATGGCCTGAAGTTGCACCAGGGGAGGCTCAGGTTGGATATTGGGAAGAATTTCTGTGCTGAGAGGGTTGTCAGCCATTGGAACGGGCTGCCCAGGGAGGGGGTTGAGTCCCACCCCTGGAGATATTTAAGAGACAGGTGGGTGTTGCATTGAAGGACATGGGATAGTGGGGTTCATAGGGCTGGGAAAAGGTTGGACTCAATGATCTTGAAGATCTTTTTCAGCCAAAACAGTTCTATGGTTCTATGATTCTATGACTGATTCTATGATGAGGCGTGGACTGGGAGCTGCACAGCAGGAAGGGAACAGGAGTGGAGTTGGGGCAGACACATGGGAAAACGCTGGTGGGAACTGGGCTGGCTCTCAAGGAACACTTTGAGGGGAAGGAGATCTATTTGCTTAGATTTTCTGCTCACCTGCTGGAGATTGCAAGGGGTCCCATCACATCCGTGTGTCTGCGTGGAGAGCAGGGACAGCATTTTGAGACTCGATCCTGGTGTGTGACACCTTCGGAAAGCTCAGACCCCTTCAGCAACCCAACTCCATCTCATTTCAGACCTTAAAGGGTTGGACTAGATGATCCTTGAGGTCCCTTCCAACCCAGTGTTCTATGATTCTGGGACTCTATGTCAAGTTGAACACAAAGACACCTCACTGCGGTGGGACCATCTCCATTCCCAGAGCTCACCTGGGCTTGTTCGGTGGGGCTGGGAAGGTCCCAGCACAGCCAGGGTTGGGGCTGGTGCTTTGGTGGGGAAGACACTGAGCAAATTCCTCCTCCCTTGAGCCAGACAATCCCCGCGAGGAGCCCTGGCTTCAAAATGAATCGCCGGGTAGTTAAACTGATTGACAGAATCATAGCTGTACCCATTTCACGCTTCATGTTAAACAAATCAAAAGTACAGTGTGTACTACATTCAATTATCCCCCTTTGAAAAAGCAAAGACCCCCCTATAAACCGTTTAAGAAAATACATCCCACTGTGCTGATATTGATTCTCCTCCGACCACATGTCTGCCAACACTGTATCAGAAAATAAACAGCTTGTAAAACCTCTCTGTAAAGGAAAAAATAATGAATGAAAAGCCGTGCTTTGTATTTGCGGGACGCATTCCGCTCTGGCAATTTTTGATCTCGCCATGTGCTGTTTGAACTCCGGGTTCATTACTGCTGCTGTAAAAGCCCATGCACCGAACTTTAAACGCAGGCGATGGAAAGTGGAATTTAAATCAAAACCGGTCAGATGGCAAGTTCTGAGCTGCTAAAAGCCACCTGCGCCCAGCCTTGCTGGTGTTGGCCCTCGGGAGGAAAGCAGCTTTCAATTTGCTCTCCTTTGTCTGCTCCGCTCGCCTCCTCGGAGCTGCCTTTGGCATCGCGGGATGGGCTGCAGGAACTGGTCACCCCAAATTCCAGATGCTCTCCCCAAAGAGCGAGGATGCCCTGGGCAGCAGGATCTCGGTGATGGTTAGTGCTGGTGTGTGGGTCTGGGGGGAGCTGGAGCCTGCAAACCTGGGGACAGCCCAGATGCCACGTGGGAGAATTGGACCCTGCAGCCGTGGGGAGAGCAGGATTGTTTAATCCTTGACACAGCTCTGCAGGTTTTTATCTCTAAAGCTTCGAAGCGCTGAGATTGCTTGGGGTTTTGAGGCTTCAGACTTCCCATGGGGGCACCTCAAGGGAAAACAGGAGCCTGTGAGCATCAATTCAACTTATTGATTGGATGCACAGACTCTTATTCCTGCTTTTCTCAACATTTTAGCCATTTCAGAATGTTCCTCCATCTGTTTCTCCTCCTGTTGTTATAAGGCTTCTCAGAAAGGAGTTTACCCCATTCTGAATCTCAAAAAAAAAAAACCCTTGAAAGAGGAAGTCCATCTTTGGGACAGCTCTCCTAAAAATACATAAACAGACGTGTCTTGAACATCCTCCCCCAGCATTTATTCAGAATTCCCTTCATCTGTTCTCATGTCTTTTTGTGCCATCTTTCCCTGGGAGCTGTGGATGGGTCAAGCCGTGTTGTCAGTGTTGGAGCTCGCTGAGCCCCGCAAGAAGACAGTTCCATGGCCAGAAAATCACGCACCCTTTTGGTGAAAGGGTCAGTACACACTGGACGTTGGAGCGATGCTGTTTTGCAGGGTGACCTGGGACTTACCCTTGGCAGTGCTAGAGACTTGAGGAAGAGCAGCTGGAAAGCTGGCAGAAAAGGGTCTGGGGGTGTTGGTGGGCAGCCGGCTGAAGCTGAGCCAGCAGTGTGCCCAGCCCAGGGGGACAAGGAGGCCAACGGCATCCTGGCGTGGATGAGGAATAGTGTGGCCAGCAGGATCAGGGAGGGTTCATGCCCCCATAGGCAGCACTGGTGAGGCCACAGCTTGAGTGCTGGGTTCAGGTTTGGGCATCACAGTATAAGAAAGACACGGAGGGGCTGGAGTGTGTCCAGAGAAGGGCGATGGAGCTGGGGCAGGGGCTGGAGAACAAGTGTGGGGAGGAGCGGCTGAGCGAGCTGGGGCTGTTCACGATCTCCAAGGTCTCTTACAGCCAAAACTGTTCATTCTACGAGAAGAGGTTGTAGTGGGGTGGGTGCTGGTCTCCGCTCCCAAGTAACGAGTGATGGGATGAGAGGAAATGGCCTCAAGTTGCACCAGGGGAGGTTTGGATTGGATATTAGGAAAAACTTCTTTACTGAAGGAGTGGTGAGGCGCTGGCACAGGCTGCCCAGGGCAGGGCTGGAGTCCCCATCCCTGGAGGGGTTCAAACGACGTGCAGACGTGGCACCTGGGGACACGGTTTAGTGCTCACGGTGGTGTTGGGTTGATGGTTGGACTAGATGACCTTAGAGGTCTTTGCCAACCTTAATGATTCTGTGATTCTCTGATTCTAGGAAGGTGGATTCAGAGCCCTTGACACCTTTGCATGAAATTGCACGTTGACCTGGGTAGGGGAGGGACGGTCGCGTCGATGTCCCAGATGAGCACAGCGCTCTGCTGCATGAGGAGCAGATGTCGGCAGGGTTTAGGCTTTAGATCCCCAGGTGTAAGCTTGGAGGGTCTTGACTCTTGTGGACGGTGTTATCAGATGGTCATGGTACGACCAACGGCCTTGGAGAGCGGTGCCGAGGGGGCTGGATGTGGATCACCTTTCACTGGGCACCCAGTCAGAGAGGGGCTCGGCTCCCACGGCTCACAGGCGCTGCGGAGGTAGAAAAATGCGTGAAATTGGTTTGGAAATGCTCAGCCTCAAGTGCCAGTTGCAGCGGTCGTTGGACGTAGCTGCCAAATCTGAATTCTAGATGTCCTCTAGGGCAGAGAAAGCTTGACGCTGGATGTCTGAGCAAATGCCATCTGCGTAAATGAACGTTCAGGGTAGAATTTCACGAGCATCTCAAGTCATGTTAAAACCTCCTGCTGCATGAGTGGACCTGGAAATAAACCACTAGGCTGAAGCTTCCAAGACCCAACTGGGTTGTTTGTATACCACCTAAAAAGTAAAAGATATTCCAGATGAACATAATGAGTATGGGAGCTTCGTTGGCAATTTCAGATCCGTGCTGTGCCATGGCATTGGCAAAATCAGGACAAGGAGCATAGTTGTGGTCTTCAGCCTTGTGCTGCTGCTAGACTTTGGTGTTAGGTGTCAACAGAACGTGAAGTGTGGATGTCAGAACACAAAATATTCTCTTTTGCCAAGACAAAGAGAGCTGTAGGAAGCAGACTCATCCCATTAATGTAGAAGGAACTGCAAATAACTGCCTGGTTTCTTCTGTGGGAAGGTTGGGGCAGTTGTGGTGAGGGTCTTTTTCCAGGAGTTCTTACATTTATTTCTTTCACTTTGTGCTCTCCAAGCTTTAAGCAGATTAATTTCAACCTACCTGGGCACGAAACCTCACCGACTTTGGGTTGGAGGTCTTTGGACATCTGGCATCTGGCTGTGGTGGCTGCCTGCTGCTCATGTGGCCAGAAGTCATGTGGGATAATCCTGGGATGAAACCTGGAGCTGTGAGATGTTGGTGATGCTTGCACGTGTCTCTCTGAATAATTGAGA